ATATTACTATTAATAATAAATAATATTTAATACCTTTAAATATAATTACTTTAAGATCTTTACAAATAACGTGTTTAATGTCCTGCATTATCTGGTTGACTAAAGTATCTTTTCAATTCGAGAGGATGATTTTCAGGTATGAGATGTGATTCTTCCATAAGTTTCTCTAATAATTAAATTTAATCTCTTTTAAGTCGATTTGCTTCTTCAGGATCAACATAAAATTAAAATTCTTCCATTACAGGACCATCTGGAGTGAGATGTCTTTTCTTCATAAAATTAATTCTAAATTCATCTAGAATGTCTTCTCTTTATTGAAATCCTTTTACTCGCTTTCTTCCTAATTCAGCAATAACATTATTTTAAATTTCAGTAATGTCCTTAGATTATTATTCTTTTAACATTTGTTCTTATCTTTGATATTCTTAACGATTAATATTTGAGTGTCCTAATGATTACCATTTAAATTAGTAATATTTTGTTTGTCTCTCAATTCTCTCTATCCCATCAGAAGAATTTGCTTAAGTGTTTTAGAGTATTGGGACTCTTTTGAAGACTCATACAAAATGTCTTAGAGAATCTAAAAAATTGGTGGGTATGATGCACCTATTCAATATTGATGGATTCTATTGGACAACGAATGAGATTTGCTTATTCTGGATTACGGATCGATTCAAAGAGTATTTGGTTTGTTTACTGTTCTTCTTTTGATTTTTTTTTTGTAATAGGTAATTATTCCTCAAAGATGTCACTGTAATCGTCATCCTTCTCTGTCTTGTTGTTTTATTTACGCTTAGTATTTTTTTTACTCATTTCAAAGATTTAAATATTAAAATATCTAATTACAATTCACTTCTTTTTTTTCGGGGTTCGTTTTAATGCTCTAATTGCATTAAACACAAAATAGACCAAAAAGATTCCTCCTAGAATTGGAAATACTATCGAGTAATTGAAATTCATTCCAAATACCCCAAGTGGAGGAACTGTAGATTGAATTTCACTTTGAATATCTTTATTAAATTCAGTTTCAAGACTTTTCACTATACTTGAGATGATGTCGTCCAATTATGGGTTAGGAATTATGTCTTTATTTTTAAGATCTTTAATATAATGAGTGTAATCAAAGCCCTTCACAACTTCTCTATATGTTACATGAAAGATTATCCTGCTTCAAAATCTTTGATAATCTAAAAAAAACGCGTGTTAAACATATGTGCTTACTTATTTGCTATCAGCTAGAGGAAGAATAGAAAAACACTTTTTTATCATATAAACTCTAATATCATGGACAATCTTATCTTTATCATTTTAAGAATAACGTTTTGCAACAGAATCAATACATGATCAAATGTCTTAATAAATTTATAGATTAATGAAAATACCTTGAATTTTTGATTATCTTACAAAGTGATAAGCCAACATGAAGTGATAACTTCTACATTATCAGATACAGCATTGGTATATTATATATAGAGACAAAGACAGAGAGCCAATAAGTATGAAAACATAATTTGTTTATATGATTATTAATTAATTTATTTTTTATGCCTCCTAAAACAACAAAAGATCAAAAGGGTCGATAATTATTTAAAGTAGGAACACCATTAAAGGATGTGATTCCATAGAGTGTAAAGAATCCACCAAGAGATCCAAAGACTTTAAAAGCACCAGAACAAATAACTAAATAGATGATGCAAGGTAAAGGAAATTGTTAATATAAACAAGAATTTCATGCATTTGCTGATCCAGAAGAATGGCCAGGTGATGAAGTTATATAAGGCTTAAATCTTTTATAAGGTGAGAGTTAAATAACAAAGTGTAAGTTTGAAACTGACAAATATGTTCCTTTTTGAGGAAGACCTAAGAATTTTTTAAGATGAAGATGGCAATAGTATAAATATAATTGATGTTAGAGAATCTGAACATGAACCACCTTATATGAATATGAGAGAAAATCGATACAATATGAATGATGATTATTATTCAACTAGATTGGAAACAGTAGAGAAAATACATTATATGGAGAAGGAAGTAGAACATTAATTGACAATATGTGAGAGTTATGAGAGAATGGAAACATAAGAAGAAGTAGAGTTGAGAAGAAAAGACTTTTTGGAAAAATAAGCAGCATAATAAAAGAATAAGAAGGGAAATAAAAAATAAGTAGAGGAAGTATTTGATGAAAATCCTAAATTAACATCTGATGTTAGATTAAGTGATTTAATATGTAATGATACATTACCACCAAATTCTCGTTGGATTGCATCATAATTATAATAGATTAAAGATAGAGATATTAGAGATTGTTTTAATTAGAAATCTCTTTCAAGCAAGATATATCCTTAAAAAGATGGTGCACCAATTTATAATCCAAATGGAAAATATATAGTGAAATTATATTTTATGGGAAAAGAGAGAAAAATATAAGTATCTGATCATATGCCAACAATTTTTGATGGTAAAGCTTTATTACCTTAAAGTATTGATAAAAATTAATTATGGCCAATGATAATAAGTAAAGCAGTTTTATAATTGTGGGATTATTAAAGTAAGGGAAGTTTAGTAGGAGATGGATTTGTAATGTATTCATTAATGGGTTTATTGAGTGAAACTATAGATTTGAAAACAATTAATAGTTGGGGTATAATTGATAATATGATGAATAATAATCATTATATTTAAAAGGATGTATTTGTATCTACTTATAGTTATAAAAATTAATCAAATTTAAATACAAATAATAGATCAAAAAAAGATTTTTAATTAGAATTATTAAGAAATCCTAAGAAGGAATTTGAAAATTATGAAATTGGTCGAAATAAACATGGATCTCCATCATAACATTAATAATAATAATAATAAGATGAATAGGAGGAATAATAAGAAGAAATGTAATAAGACGAAGGTTAAGAAAAAGTATAAAGATTTAGAAAAACATAAAGAGGATTTTCTTTTGAAAGTTTGAGTAGATCATATTCTATACCTAAATAATTAAAGATTCCTGGGAATAAAAATTTGAATACTTGTTTTTCATATTCAATAGTTGAATAATTTTAAAATGAGACTGGATTTAATATGGTATATGCATAAAAGAGAAGTGATAGAGAATTAAGATTGAGATAAGAATATTTTGATTTGTGTAAGACTCCAATGAATAAAATGACTAAAGAAGAGAAATTAGAATTGAGAAGAAGAAAGAAAGAAATAAATAAAAGAAAAACTTTAAGATGATGATAAAAAAAGAATATCTTTAATTAGTTAATAACCAGTTAAACATAGATATTTAAGATTAAAGAGCGATGTTTAAGGTAAAGATCAAGTAATAGTATTCAGTCCTTTAGCAGCAGATGAAATTTACATAGCTAAAAAATGTGTAGTAAATAAACTTAATAAACCACCTAATTATGATATTCCTGAAATAAAAGGAGATGATAAATCTGTATTTTCAGCTAATCCAAAAAATACTGATGATAGTTTTACTGTTAAACCTTTAGAGGATTTCTCATCTGTTGCAAATGCTTAAGAACCATTTAATAGAGGAGAAGGAGGATATTGGGTTCATGAAAAAGAATTTCTTAGTCTTTTTGAATATATACAAATAGCTTATGATCCAAAAAAATATAATCTATAACTTTTACAAATTTAAAGTAATCCAGATAATGATATTACTAATTATGATAATATTGAAATGATCATTTTTAAAAAGATCCAGATTCTGAAGATTATGCTTAAGTTTAATTCCTTTATGGATTTTAACCTAAATATTCTTAAGATAAAGATCTCAATTAATAAATAAGACCATATTCTATGTTATAACGTTTTGATATAGAAACATATGAATCTATTCTAGATTATAAATTACTTAATCAATGTGTTAGTTCTTAGATGCTTTTATTAGATAATAAAAATCATATTTTCAAAATGAATATATATTCCCCACTTAATTTTACTATGTGGTTAGCATCTAATAATAAAATAATCACCCAAAGTGTCTTTGATTATTTAATTGATTTTGAAAATTATTAGAAATAATCCTTCTAAATTGATTATCCACCATGTGAAGCTAATAGATATTATGTCTATTTTAGATTTAAAGTATTCTTAAATTCAAATAAAGACAATGGTTCATTTGTATATAAATTAAAAAGTACTACTGATAATCAATTATTAAAATTTCTCAAAATTAAATTATGTGAAATTCCTCCTTCTGATAATAATTTAATGCTTACAACTATTGAAGGTGTTCACAAGAATTTATTTGAAAGTGAATCTATTATTAATGGTACTTAAAGAATGATGCTCAGAAGTTAAACTAATTATTATTTTATTCTAGAGGGAACTCCTTTATATAATTCATAAGAAGGAACTTTTGAATTAGATTTCTTAGTCAATTCAGAATTTACATTCACATTACTAGAGAATATTGAACCTACCCGTTATTATGATAAATATATTCCAACCAAATATGGTACCATTTTTAGAGAAAGAATATTTGCAAATGATGCTTAAGCTAGCATTTATGTTAGATTAACTGAAGGACAATAAGTTTAATAATAATAATAAGTAGCCAAAGGAAAATAAACTAAAGGTGGACCATAAGAATTAGAAATTGTTGAATCTGAAATGAGAGGAGAAAGACTTATTCGTTTAGAATTATATCATGGTGATGATCTTATTGTTTATAATTATGGAATCAATTCAGTTACGCTCTCTAATGTTGCTTTGCCTAAAGATGAAAATTATGTTATCTAAGCCTCTTTCGATCTTAGAGAATGGCCAGAAGCTAAAATTAAATCTGAAGAAACTGATAATATATTTTGGTTTACTACCATTTTTGCTTCTGATACTATTGCACTAGTTAGAGATACAACAAAGGAAGACAAAGAAAAAGCTATTAAAAAATCTTGGGAAGATAAAGAACCAGTAAGAGCTGTTAATGCTAAAAAGTCTAGAACTAAATATTTACTTACTCTAAAAGGAGAGCTAACTCCTGAAGAATAAGCACTTGTAAATGCACCAAGAATGACTAAAAAGCAAAGAGAAGAGGAAGCAAAATAAGCTGCTCAAAAAAAGGATCCCAAAAAGGATGATAAAAAAGCAGGGAAATAAACAAAAGTTGAGGCACCTGTTGAAACTGTTCCATAATAAAGATAAATACCTAAATCTGAAAATCATGTTAATGAAGCTATTACATAATTTCTATAACATTTAGAATAAGATAGGATTATGGATCATTATGCTAGACATGCTGGATTAAAGAATGTAAGAAGTGATGTGTAAAAAAGAGAAATTGTAGAAGGAATTTTAATGGGTAAAGAAGAGATTGCTGGAATAATTTAAAGAAATCTTAAAATGAGAGAAGAAATTAAGCTTTTATAAAAGTATTTATTATTTATAGACTTTTTAGAGATAATAAAGAAATTCTAATTAATGAATTCTAATCTTATAGATCATCATACAAATAAGAACTTATAGATATATTTTAATAAAGAGATTCTATTAAATAAGATTTAACTTAATTAATGAAGAAGGAGCAATAATTATTTGATGTATTTTTTTATACATTGATTTTAATAGTTATGTAAATCAGATAAAGTAGGAAATCCAGAAGATGTTGAAAAATTGATTGCTGATCCTCCTTAATTGGATCCAGTGTTAGTTAATGCAGCTAAATAAGTTATTAATAATTGGAGGATTGCAATAATTCAAGAAAAAATAAACAATGCTTTATAAAACTTTGATATAGATACATTATAAAAGTGTGTTGATCAAATTGCTTAATTAAATATTGAAGGAATAGATACAAGTTCTGCAGAAGATATGTTAGATGATGCATCCAGGAATCCAAACTTTAGGCTGAGAAATTGGCAGAACTTAAAAAGTAGGATAAAAAGCCAAATAAAAAATGAGAATATAAATTTGGTAATATATAAATTACACTTATTATTGATTTGAATTATTTAATTATAAAATACTAATATATTAATATTAAATCATATCTAAAATAATTAAAAATTAATACTCTGTGCTTCAGATCTTCATTTGAATTTTGAAACAGTTTAGTAATTGATAGAGAAAGAAAAGAATTAGAAATTTGATGCCATTTTGTTATTAGGAGATTTTTTAAATTTATAGCATACATAAGAAGAGGATTAAAATTTAGATGGTTTAAGAAAGTTATTAAATCCTTTTAAAAGTTTTGGATGTGCAATTTATTTAATTCCAGGGAATCATGATAGTAATGAATTACTAGAGGATAATTTTAAAGAGGAAGGGTTTATAAATGTTCATAAGAAATCATTATAAATAGGAGAGAATTTATGGATAGTGGGTTTAGGTGGAAGTATATCAGATAGTATAGAAATGTATATAAAGGATATAATAAGTAAGGGTTGATTTGGTAAGGATATCCATACACGAATGATGAGGAGTATTAATAAGAGTTGGAGAAACTAAAAATACCAGAAGTAGGGAATATCATATTAATGACTCATATAGGTCCAGGTGATAGTTAAACAGCGATGAGTTGTGAAAATGGATGGGATGATTTAATTAGATCTGGAAGTGATTCATAATCTAATTTTATAAAGAAGAGATTGAATATAATATTGAATGGTAGTAGAATGCTAAATTAATGTAAAGTGGTTAATGTTGGTCCCTTACTTTATGGTAATTATAGTATTATAAGAATATCAAATAAGGTGGATAAAATTGAACATATATTTATTTGATAATTTATATTTTAATTACGGATGCTAAGCAAATATTCAATTAGATCATTAACTCTATTAAAATTCCCAAGATATAGGTTTAGTTAAGTGGAATAACAAAAAAAAGAGTAAGAGTAGGATGAATGGGATGAGAGAACTCTTGAAGCTGAAGAGGCAAATCCAACATTAGAAAATAAAGAGAAAGCATTTTCATACTTTAGATTGTTTTCAAGAATATTTTGGTGGACAACTTCTGCTTTATTTGGTTATAATTTATATCTGAATAATTATAAAACTGATCCAACCAATGAATTGGGTATTATTAAAAAATATAATTAGGTTATTAATAATAGATTAATGATGCTGCAAAATATTGTTAATCTTAGTATTAAGCATTTTATGATGTAAAAAATAATTTAATTTAATATTATAGTTTATCACTAAGCCAGCAATTGATAAATTATTGCCAGATATCCCTGAATTACCATTTGGATATGAAATACCTAAAACATTAGTACTTAATATATCAGGTACTTTATTGCATATGGATTACGTATTCGGTGTTGGGTAATATATCTAAAAATTAATTATTATTAGAGGAGAATCAAAAGGAGAAATGGTTTATAAAGATTTCTTGAAAAATTACCTAAAATGTATGAGGTTGTAATTTTGTCTGATGATGAAACTATGGTATTTATAATCATTATACAGTTTACTCAACAAATTACTTAAAAATTAGATCCTACAAGATAAATCTTTGCTGGTGCTTTTGGAAGAGAATCAATGGTATTTGAAAAAGGAAGATATATCAGAGATTTAAAATATCTTAATCGTCCTCTTAATAGAGTTATTGTTATTGATTCTGATCCTGAAAGAATGTATTAATATTAAGACAATGGTATCTTCATTAAACCTTTTGATGGAAAATAAAATGATGATGTCTTAAAAGATGTTCTTTTACTCCTTGAACGTAATTAATATTATTTTAATTACAGATCTCTCTAAACCTTAAATTAAAGATATTAGAGCAGAACTTAGAAAATTTGGTAACTTTGATCCTTAAATCAAATACTTAGAAGAAGTTAAAGCTAGAGAAATCAACATCAAATAAACTATGAACAAAGGCTTCTTTGGAATTATTAATCAAAGAAAAAATCCTTAATTTGAATAATCTAGAAGATAATGAAATAATTTAATTATCATATGTTTGTTATTTCTATGTTAATATTCTAAAAATATAAATATTATAATTCTATCAAAATAATTTCATGAATAACTTCTTTTATTCTTATAATTTCTATCTCTTTAAACCCTTCTTTCTCTTTTAAATCTTTTAAAGTGCCAATCCTGCTTTATTGTTCATCCATTTCAAAGCTAATAATTTTCTGTTTCTCTCAAGTAATTTATTAGCATTTTATTCAAATGTCACATTATTTTTTTACCATTCCAATAAAGTTTCAATTATTACTGAAGTATTCTTATACTATTCTTCATATTATTTAATAAACTCTGATTAAATCATCATTCTGCTGAAATATTTATGCCATAATTAATTAAACTCATCTTCCCTTTGATCTAAAGGTTTTAATTATTAAGAAATAAAGTGGAAATCAATTGAGTTTGTCAACAATATAGAATAAAATGTTGTCAATAATATTTTTCTTACTCTTATAAATTCATTTATTATATCAACATATTTTGATGTCTTTAATTTTCTTGGTAAACCATACTTACCAAAATCATATTGATAAGGCTTAAAGAATTTTTCTCCTTTCTTCTTTGCCTCAAAAGCAGCAAGTATTTTTCTTGTTTTAATTTCAAGATTTTCACTTCTCTTTTATATATTCTACCATTCATCTAAACAACTCTAATATGCTGCTTCAATAGTTTAATCTGTTAATTTATTTATAACATTTAAAGAGTATAATCTAACATCTTAAGCAAAGAATAATTTTATTGCATTAGAATTTATTGTTAAAGCATCAAATCTCTCTTTTTAAGATAAGTTTATTACTTTCATTATCTATGTATATTAATCTACATCCTCTTAAGAACTTACATCATTTATTATTTCTTTAATTTTATTTATTACATTAACTTTTATATCATCTAAATTCAAACTAATGTGTAAATTAAGAACATTATTTTAAAACTATAGACTTCAGGTAAAATTTTTTAAATTTCTATAAATTATTCTAATATTTTAGAAATACCATCCTAATTTTCAACTGGATGGAAGTTTGTCTCATATTAGTACACCTAGTCTTAAGATTAAGTAATTTTATCAAAATAAATAAAGTATCTATTTGGAATTTTTATTTGGCATGTATTCTTTTTATTTAATAAATATCCTACTAAATTATTTATTAATAAATATGTTAATTAGTAATATTGTTCATCTGGAGTTATTAAGTCATATATTTCTTCTTGATAAGAAAAATAAAGATCAGTTGCATCAGAAATTACATTAAACTTCTTACAAATTAAACATTCTAAATATTGAAGATAAGGTTCTTATTTAGTACTTTATCCATATTCAATTTTATGGCTAAAGTATTGATAAGTAATGTGATTGCTATCAGCATAATTCATTAAGTGAATAAATTTTACCATAGCACAATGGAATGATTATGAATCATTAAATTATTTATTAATCTTTTTTAAAGCATGTTAAATAATAAAATATTTTGACTCTGATAAGTGCCATTTAAGATAAGGGTTTTTTAAAAAGTATATTTATTATGCTAACTAACCTTTATTATTTTAAAATAAGAATTTAACATTGAGTTGTTCATCTGTTTATTCAACTTTAAATCCATGCTTCATTTTAAAATCTTCTTATAATTTTTATTAAATCTATTCTTATTCCTTTTAAATCCGATCATTAACTGTTATTAAGCTAATATTTTCTCTTTATTATTAATTTTTATTAAGTTATTAAGAGTATTTTGTTCTACTATATTAATATATACTCAAATTCTCAAAATGATCTTCATATTCATTTGGATACAATTAATCAAAATGATATTCTTCAAATGTAGCTCTTCTTATTGAACTAATACTATTCAATTCACTATTTAATTTTTTAGTAATCAAAAACATCACAGAAGATTTTGGAGCACTGATAAACTCAAAATCTATATCTACAAAATAATAATCATCTAAAACTATAGTATTTCCTTTTAATTATAAATTATGTCTGTTTTCAACTAAACCCTAAATGATTACAGAAGATCTATTAATTATTAATGAATTAATGTATGGTTTAAGTAAAACAACATTATCTGGTTCTCTTATTTTAAAGTAAAATAATACACTTCTAGAAACTATTTTCTTTAACTTTTAGAGACAATCTTAATTGGTATTCAACAAAGTCTTAATAAATCTAACAGATTTTATTAATTTAGCAAAGATTTTAACATCTAATTAAGTGATCCAAAAATGAGTTTTACTAATCCAGAATTATGTATAATAATAATCATTTATTTTTTAAATACAACATATTAACAATAAAATATAAGTAGAAATACAGATTGATAAATTTCTAATTCATCATGATTCTTGTAATCAAGTAAAATATCGCATAATTTATTCAAAATTTCATCTGGAACTTCTGTTTTATTTACCAAACAATTAATAAATTCTTCACTTAATGAATACATTTTAGGAAGATTCTATTTAGGAGTTAATTCAACTTTAACAGTTTTTTAGATGTCTTATGTATTAGTTCTAAAGTATAAGGTTTGAGGAGCTTTTTGATTTAAAACAAGTTAAGTAATTAATTCACTATAATATTGTTCCAAAGTAATGATAGCAAATTCCATCTCTTATTAATCTTTTGGATAAGTAAATATTAACATATCAACACCTCTAATCATAGTAGAAAAACAAATATCTAGTTTCTTTTAGATTAATATTAGTGTTGTTTAATAAACCTATGCTAAATCTCTATCTGTTTGTTCATTTTCAACCATCTTATTACCTATCTAATGACATAAATTACTGTAATATATGAATCTTGAATTTTTGAAATCCATAAACAATTTACAAAGTAATAATGAATTTTAAACATCCATTTAGTAAACAGTTTTCTTCCAGAAACCTAATAAAAGTAATTGTGAATAGCATTCCAAACCTAATGAGTTTTAGGATGTAAGTTTAGTATCATTAAATTTTAAAGAAATAAATTCTGACTTTATGTTTTCAAAGACATTATGTACAGCAAAAGCTGCAACTAAACCCTTATCTATTTAGGATTGTCTTTACTTTCCATTAATTATATATGAAACATTCAGACTTGCTGTATGAGAGGCAATTGGTGAATATGTTGATGCTATTGATACTAAATATCTTCCTAATTAATCAGCTAATTTATATCTATTGCAAACAAAAATACATAATTTATAATTTTTGAATTATTCTAAAATATCTAAAACTAAATAAATAAAAGAAATATCTACTAAATCTAAATCTAAGATAAAATCAACCATATAATCGAATTCATTTTGATTGATTTATTTATTACTAAGTTATGCAGATTTACTTCTCTAATTATATAATTGATATTTGAATTCATCAGAAAACATGGAAATGTATTTAATAATTTATTACATTATTTTATCTTAGATAAATATATCTGTTTTAGTTCTTACAAATTAAACATTAGGATTACTATAGATTTAAGCATATGAAAATGCAGAAAAGTCTGAAGATTCACTTTTCTTTGATGCAATAGATTCTATAATAGATTTATTATCATTTTTCAACCATTAATCTTCTGGATAAGTGTTCAAAATTTTATTCATCATCTTCTTCATTTATTGTTTTCTCTACCTAAAATGATTCAGATTCTGCAACACTAATTATTTTACTATTTTCAACTTTACTTTGTTCAACTTAAAAACTTTCTGTATTTTAGACTGAAAATGATTAAGAATCCTCAGAATTATTATTCATACTTTCTTACTTAACTAAAATAGAAGGTTATGATTGATCATGTAATGATTTTATTAATTAACTACTTAATTCAATAATTTTTTCTTATTCTTATTCTTCACTTTCTTTAAGTATTTATTATTATTATTATATTAATGATGTTTATTCTTCTTCTTTTAATTATTATTCATTCATAATCTTTTCTGAAGGTTTGATAATTTCTTATTATTCTTCATCTTCATCTTCTTCATCAGAACTTTCTTCAATTACAAGTGGTTTCTTTTCTTAAGATTTGACTTACTATTATTGATCTTATTCAAGTTATCCAATTTAACTTGTCATTTTATTTAATATAATTGGTAAATACTTTTTCAAAAAAGCAGATCTAGTTTCAACTGGAATTTAATCTCTCATTTAATGAAGTACTTTAAATATTTCTTCTTATGCTTCAGCTTTTTCATATGCTTCTACAGCTCTAATAAAATCTTAAGATTTTAAGAAATATTCAGCTGATTCATAATACTTTTCACATTTATAAGTTGCTTCTCCAGCTTCATTAAACATTTATTAATCAACATAAATTTATAATGCTTTTTAATACATTTCACCTGAATAATAGCATTGAGCAGCTTATTTATAATTCTATAATTTAATAAATAATTAAGAAGATTCTGTAAACTTCTCTTTTTATTATTGTTTAATTATGCTAATTATAATTTTTTTTCTTTCTTTTTCATTGTACTAGATGATAATTAAGAATGCTATTAAATAATTGTATTTCCTTCAGTTGCAAGTTTAAATGCTTTAGCTTTAGTATAAAGTAATTCATCTTGAGATTATTCAAAGCATTTTTCAGCTTATTCATAATATTTGTTTCTAAACATTTTTAAACCTTACTTTTTCCATTCTTCTTTAGAGGTTTATTTAGCAAATCTTTCTAAATTTCTATCTTGAAGATTTGTTCCAGAAAAGTTATCTATCAAATTTAATTTTTACCAAATATTTTAGACATATTATCTAGCTTATGGATTTTCATCATATATAATTAATCTTTATCTAGGTCTTGTTACAGCAACATATAATTATTTGATTTCATTACATAAAGCACTATAATTATATGTTAATTCATCATAAAATTTATTTTAAGTAAAGATTCTTTTAACAATTATATTACCATTCTTTTCTTCAAAACCTGAAAATATTGTTGCTTCATCATCTAAATTTTAATGTTATGTACAACTATCTTTGAATTTGTCCTTTGAAATTTCTTCATCCAAAATTTCACAAGTTTATAATAATTTCCATTAAGTATCTCCAATTGAATGATCTTAAAAGAAATTAAACAAAATAACATCATCAAAT